GAGAGAGAAGGGAGGGAGGGAGGAAGGAAGGAAGGAAGGAAGGAAGGGAGGAAGGAAGGAAGGGAGGAAGAAGAGGGAGGATGATAAGGAGGGGGGAAAAGACTGCTTTGGCCCCTTCCTTAAAGTCAGGTTGTAAATCGGCATCTTATCAAATGGCCTGTGATGAGGCTTTTCTCATTTGCTGCCTTTGCTCTACTGTGGGCTTGGAAAATAACAATCTTTGGGTGTTAAAACTGTGCAATGTAAAAGTTTTTAAAAAATAGTAAGTCCAGGGGGTATAGGGGAGAAGGGCCTAAGTGAGCACTGAAGGGGATCAATACAAACAGTATCCCATCTTTGGAAAGCTGGAGAGTACAGTGGTTGCATGCATAGGCTTTAGTCACACAGAGCTGCATTAGAACCTTTGGCAAATTATGAATGTCTGTGGAATAGAAAGAGTAATAACATGACAAACAAAGAGGGATGTGAGAATTAAGTGAAATAAAGCATGTGAAGTACTCAGTACTATGCCTAGCCCATAATGAGCCCTCACTAAAAACAAATGTTAACTACATTGATATCCTAGGATCCTGTGCATTTTCTCTGCACACTTTCTGGTTCTTTCCTGTTATGTTCCAGATAGGTAGCTTTGCCGGATAGCTAAGTGAGAAACATATAAGCTGATATTGCATTTAGATCTTGTTCATTGATTAAAAAGAAAAAGTATTTCTCAATCTTTTATACTGCATGGGACGTCTTATACTAAATGTCATGGGGAAGGGTCTAAAAACACAGGAACCATCGTCTCTGCTCTGGGAAATTGACAATCTATTTGTGGAGACCCAGCCAACACACCAATCAACTAGAACAATATTATAGCATGAGGGATCAGAGTTCAAGCCCAGAGATTCACTCAGGAAGGGGGACATTTAAAAGTAAAATATAACTAAATGCCTTTTCAGGCAGTCCGTTTTGTGATCTGCTCGTGAGATCATACACTCACCAATATAGGACAGACATAAACTTTCCCCACATTTCCCATTGTGGGGCTCATTCCATGAGGATTACCCATTTTCTCCAAAAACCTCTTAACACTACCGACCCCAAACTAGATTCTGTGTCTAAGGGTAACAAAGAATAGAGGTTTGATTTCTAAAGAGTAAAAGCAACAACAACAAACATGATCTGCTAACCCACAACAAAAATGAGAATTAAGAACTTGACAACACCAAACTTTGTTTTCCTTTTCAACGGTTCCCCATACCTCCCCTTCCAGGGCAGTTCCCCCTCTGTCCCTGCACCAGCACCCCTCCCTCCCCCATGCTGAGTCTTTCTGCCTCTAGTCCCTCAACATGGAAGGGTTGTGAAGCCAAGGCAGTGGCTGTATATTCCTGCAATGAACTTACCTTGGGAAGAATCTCAGGGCCAATCAAAGCCCTTTGTGTGTTCTCAAGCCCAGGTTCCATTTTGGCTTTTTTTTTTTTTTTTTGAGAGGGAAAATGAGAAAGAGAGTGAGTGAGTGAGAGCAAGCTTTGGCCCACAAAAGGTACCTAAAAGACTAAAGAGTGCATATTTCTGAGATCTGTTAATGGAAATTGTTTTCCCAGCTTGAAAATTGCCACATTTAAACTCACAACGTGGAGTAAGCGAAATCATAAATATGAACTCCTTTTCAGGCAACAAACAGCATTCAGAGTCTTTCTCCTTTGCCTTTGGGGATCCATATGCCGCAGTCTAGTTAGCTGCCCAGCGACCGACAAATATAAATCAAAGGTAATGGTTGTAGTAAACAGGGTTCCTGTGAGTCCAGAAGTGTTTTCCAGGGAGGAATCAACATGCTTCTTATCGCACCAGAGTCACCAAATAGCCAAAGTTTAGCTCTTACAAAGACAAACAAATAACAAAAGCAATAAAAATTAAAACGTCTGCTCTGTTACTGTCTGCACTCAACAGTGGGGTGGAATAGGCATCTGAAAGTTTACAATAGTAAAAGGATCAGGGCAAGAGGCCAGAGAGAGAGGACTAGACTTGATGGCTTATTTGCCTTTCCATTATTGCCCCTTGCTGCCTACCATAGACATAGCTCCTTTGTCCTCTCTTTCATACCATTATTGCTTTTGTGTGGTCTGTGAACCCTCTTGGCTAAATAAAAATTGAGCCTTAACCTAAAGTGCCATTGTCACCAGAGAAACCCATAGGAGGAAGTAGTAAAATGAGAGATGGTACAAGTTATATGCTCACAGATGACCAACTCTTTACCTAAAGAACTAGCTTAGGCACAGTTAACCAAGTTATTCCAGCCATTAACTCATGCACCAGTGAGTCCAGCACACAAATCCTTATAACCAACACTTGAATCGGGTCTCAATGAGGCAAGTGAGGGTCGTGTGTATAGAAATTTAGATTCACTCCCTTGGCCCTCACAGATGGCTTTGCATATGTTATATGTACATGTTGTCATCAATGTGGCCAGAAACCCCTGCCTTGGGATCTGCTGAATACTAACTTGACTTACTGGAGC